AGTTCAAGGCCAGTCTAGGGATAGGACCTTATGGAGGGGTGGGAGCTGACAATCTAGAGGCAGACATAGGCAGATCTCTGTGAGTTTGAGGCCAATCTGGTCTACATATGAGTTCTAGCCAGGGCTCCATAATAAGACCCTGTATCAAAAATATAAAGAAGGGGGGGCTGGGACTGGAGAGATGGCTCAGAGGTTAAGAGCACGACTGTTCCTCCAGAGGTCCTGAGTTCAATTCCCAGCAACCACATGGTGGCTTACGACCATCTGTAATGAGATCTGGTGCCCTCTTCTGGTGTGCAGATATACATGGAAGCAGAATGTTGTATACATAATAAAATCTTTAAAAAAAAAAGGGGGGGGGCTGGAGGGATGACTCAACAGCTGAGAGTGCTGACTGCACTTCCAGAGGAACCAAGTTCAGTTCCCAGCACCCACATGGTGGCTCACAACTGTCTGTAACTCCAGGATCTGACACCCTCACACAGACATACATATGCAGGCAAAACACTAAAAACACTGAAGTACATAAAATTAGTATACACACACACACACACACACACACACACACACACACACACACACACCATAGTCCGATGAGCTACAGAGACAGCTGAGTGATCAAGAGCACTGTCTGCTCTTCTAGAGGGCTGAGATTCCCAGTACCCACATGGCAGATCACAAGCATCTGTAACCAATTCCAATGCCCTCTTCTGGCATGCACAGGCACCAGTCACAATTGTGGTACATAGACATACATATAGGCAAAACATCTATACACATTTCATGGTCTACATGGAGAGTTTCAGGCTAACCAGGGCTAAATATTAAGACCCTGTCTCCAAAAAGAAAAGAAAAAAACAAAAAACCAAAAAGGATTAAATGAGGTCACGAGTTTGGGGTACCCTAATAAGACTGTGGCTATATAGTACAAGGAAGGGGCTAGAAGTCTAGCTTAGTGGTAGAAGCTTGACAAGGGGGATGGGGGTGGAGGAGACTGTTTCTACCATCCTGCTACGCCATGCCTCAATCTTAGACTTTCAGCTCTAAAACTGTGAGAAGAGAATGCAGTTTTCCTGACAGCACTGGGAGTCCGTGAGTAATAGGCAAGAGCTACCACTATCGAGCTACACTACACTGTCCTCGGTTGTGCGACAGGGTCTTGGCATAGAACCTATGCCACCCTGAACTCCCAATTCTCCTCCCTCAGCCTCCCAAATGTTGGGATTACAGGTGCACACAACAGCCAGGAAGAAATCTTCCTTCTTTCAGTTGTTTGGGACAGGGTATTAGTTAAGGGAAGACAACCCAGAACTTAGTATATGTGACTAGTCTAGGGAGGCTTCCCTAACACTGAGATTACAAAACATGGGCCAGCGTGTCCAGCTAAATCTTTTCTTTATAAATGACGGATTCCGTTGTTCCTCCCTCTCTGCTGGGTCACCCCTGATACATACCACTCCCTAACAAGCCCTTCCTTGGCTTCACATTCCCCTCACCACTGAGCAGTTTCTTGGCTTGGAGATGTAGACCAGTGATTAAAAACATTTCATGGCTCCCTTTTCACAGCACAATTCTTTTTCCCTTATCCATTTTAACCGACTTCTGTCTCCATCTCTCTGAAAGTGCTATTGTCTGGGCCACTTGTGTTCTCTGTGGTCACACTCCAAAGCCACCTAACTCCATCTTGAAGTACCATTAGCCACGACTCTTCACCTGTGTATCAGACACTGCTCCCTCAGGGCTGGAGAGAAGTCTCAGCAGCAAAGAGCAGACAGAGCAGGTAGGTGGCTGGGAGGTGGCTGTGCTCACCTTTAATCCCAGCACTCAAGAGGCAGGGGCAGCCAGGTCAGCCTGATCTACAGAGAGTCCTAGGACAGCCAGAGCTACACAGGGAAAGCCAATCAAAAAAACAAAAACAAAGAGCATATAGGTACTAGGTACTGCTCTTCCAGAGGACCAAATTCCTTTTTTTTTTTTTTGGGGGGGGGGTATTGTTGTTGCTGGGTTTTAGAGACAGGTTCTCACTTTGTAGCCCTAGCTGTCCTGGAACTCACTACATAGACCAGGCTGGCACCAAACTCCTGAGTACTGGGATTAAAGGCATGTGCCACCAGAGGACAGAAGTTTGAGCTCCAGGGATCCATCCAATGCCCTCTTCTAACCTCCAAGGGTAGTCAACACACGTTATATACACACATACACATACAAACTTAAAAATAAATCTTCTTAACTTTTTTTTAAAAAGATTTATTATATATACAGTGGTCTGCCTGCATGCCAGGCAGATCTCATTATAGATGGTTCTGAGTTACCGTGAGGTTGCTGGCAATTGAACTCAGGACCTCTGGAAGAACAGCCAGTGTTCTTAACCTCTGAGCCATCTCTCCAGCCCTTAAAAATAAATCTTTAAAAAAAGATCCTGCCTCACCGGGAGTTGGCGGCGCATGCCTTTAATCCCAGCACTCAGGAGGCAGAGGCAGGTGGATCTCTCTGAGTTCGAGGCCAGCCTGGTCTCCAGAGCAAGTGCCAGGATAGGCTCCAAAGCTACACAGAGAAACCCTGTCTCAAAAAAAAAAAAAAAAAAGATCCTGCCTCAAAAGACACACACACACACACCTTTGGAGTCACTCTTGTACTTTTGCTCACTACTGTTTTGAAACTCTCAAATAGACTCCGAAAGGCCTTCCCATAAGATCTGACAGTGTATGGTCACCAGACACCTTTCCAACTCCAAGTCCACTTTACCCACACCTGCACTTTCCATCCTGTGAACACATAAAGCTTCCCCAGCTCAGGGTCTCTGTATTACTATCACCTCTTCCTGAAAGTTTTCCCACATCATTTAGCCATTATCACTCTTCAAGTCTCACAAAAAAAGGGGGGGGTTCTCCTTTTTTATTGGCCCCTCCCTGACCTGTACTTCTCAAGTGCTATCTTCTGCAAGACTGTTTTTGCTTTGTGTCTTGAGACACACTTGTAGCCCTGGCTAGCCTGGAGCTCACTTTGTAGACCGGTCTGGCCTCACACTCACAAGAGATTCATCGACCCTGCCTCCTGAGTGCTGGAACGAAAGGAGTGTTCCGTGACACCCCCCACTTCTGTAGGGGTTTTGTTGTTTTCTGCAGTGTTGGGAATTGAACCAAGGGCCCCTCGAATACTAGGTAAGTATAACAGCAGACCTAGATCCCCAGCGTGCAGCGCTATCTCCTGCTTACCCTCTCCTTTTCCCATTTTTATCTTCAAAACAGTTATTTTTCTACTTCTTAAAGAGATGAGGCTTCAGACAAACATGGTAACACATTACCTGCAACCTCGGCACTTACAGATTCAGTCAGCAGATCAGGGATGCGAGGCTATCCTCGGCTACATAGCTACTTTGAGTTTAAGGCCAGCCCTCTCTACATAAGATCTTGTCTCAAAGGAGTGGGTGGGGGGTGGAGCAACTCCACAGTTAAGAGCTCTTCTAAAGGAGCTGGGGTTCAATCCCCAGAACCCACATGCCAACTAACAATTGTCTGTAACTCTAGTCCCAGGGGATCTAACCTCTTCTGACTTCCATAGACACTGCATGCATGTAGTACACATAGATCCAGGCAAAACACTCACACACATTTTAAAAAAAAAATTGTTTTTTGAATCTCAAGAAGAAAAAAAAAAAAAAAACCTTTACTTGGGTTTGACAACAAATGCCTGAAGTTCCAACAACTGAAAAGAGGGAGGAAAACCAGGAGTTCAAGGCTAGCCTCAGCTATGTAATGAGTTAGAAGCCAGAATGAGACCTGTCTCAAAATAAAGAGAGGTAGCTGGAAAGACAGCTTAGAGGTTAAGAGTGCTTGCTGTTCTTGCAGAGGATCCATGCTCGGTTCCCAGCACCTATGACAGATGGCTCACATCTACCTGTAATTCCAGCTTGGCTGTGCTGGGAGCACAAAGGTCCCTGCTTCCACACATTTTCCAGAGAAACCTGGAATGTTAAGCACATAGGATGTTCTTCCATCCAGAAAGCAGGAACTGGAGGTGATGAGTAACCTAGTGATTGGCCATCTGTGTTACCTGTTGGGCCAGGCCATCTCAAGTTCCTACAACCAGAACTGAAGATACCTAGTAGTCTAAATGACCCTTAATAGCCAGGGGCTCCCCAACCTCCCACAAGGACCAGAGAGATCTTATAGTTTACAGGACCCGTACATTCATGATCTGTGCCAGTGGTGGCACACACCTTTAAACCCAGCACTTAGGAGGCAGAGGCAGGCGGATCTCTGTGAGTTCGAGGCCAGCCTGGTCTACAGAGCGAGTTCCAGGACAGGCTCCAAAGCCACAGGGAAACCCTGTCTCAAAAAACCAAAACAAACAAACATAAATTAAAAACAAATCTTAAAATGAGAGAAAGGAGGAGAAAGCAAACAGGCAGACATGAAGTCTCACAATGCTGCCCAGGGTGCAAGTTCCAGCGTGCAATGACCATGTGTACTGATATGCATTTACACACTACACAAAAAGTACAACCAACTCTTTATCTACCATTCACGTCCCTAAGAGCCCAGCCCAAACATAGAACCCACTACGCAGTTAAGTATGGCCTTGAGTTTATCCCCCTGCCTCCACCTCCAGAGTGCTGAGATGACAAGAGGAAGCCAACACAACCTAGTTTACGAAGCGTGGGGGCGTGAACATGGGTTTGTTCCTGACACTAGGCAAATATCTACGAACTGAGCCACCTCCCCAGCACATGTGGAAAGTCATCTGATAAACACTTAGACATACGCTGTCACAGATATCCATTACTTGAACACAGAAAACAGACTTCTGACTAAGGAAGGAACTGATTTCTCTCTAAATGACTTTAGAATTCAAGGCAGAAAATGATACATGCGGGACATCTATGGCTGAAGGAACATCCTGCCTGTGAACAGGTTACCGGTGGACACACTCTCCTCATTTGCAGGAAGGGCTCTCATGTGTAGGCCCGGCAAAGGGACAGAGTCAGCAACTCCCCTTACCATTTCTGCATAGTCCACCTGCTCTGCCTCACTGTACAGCTCTGGGGGCAGGTTGTAAATCCGCAGAGTGTTATCAGCACTATTGGTCAAGATACAGGAACCATCAGGAGCCCTAAAAACATAGGGAAATTAGAAAACTGAACAGACCTATGATTTCCAGGTGTAGGTCTAGAACTATCTTAGTACATATGCCCTTGAGAAGACACCAATCAGTCCTAGGTAAAACTTCAGCTCATGCGGAGAGTGGTGGCACACAGCTACTGAGAGACTGAGGCAGAGGACCTCAAGTTCCAGGCCAGTCTGGACAACTTGGCAGGGCCGTATCTCAAAACAAAGCAAAAAAAAAAAAAAAAGTCTAGGATGTAGCCTACTGGTGAGGGTCAGGCGAGCATGATGGACACCCTAGGCTAAATCCACAGTACTAGAAATGGAAGGAAAGATCGACAGGACAATGAAAAGAAAAAACCCTTAACCTGGGTACTAACCAGTATTCTTATTCCTTAACCACCTCCAGATAAGTATGTTTGTTTGTGTTTTTGTTTTTTGTTTTTTTTTTTTTTTCTGAGACAGGGTTTTCTGTGTAGCCCTGGCTCCCCAGACCTCGCTCTGTAGACCAGGCTGGCCTCTGAACTCAGAGATCCTCCTGCCTCTCTGCCGAGTGGCATGTGCCACCACCACCCAGACTAGTTTTTGTTCTTATTTTAAGACAGGGTCTCTCACTCTATGGACAAGGCAGACCTCCAACCCCCAATCCTCCCTGTTTCCAAGATGTTGAGATTACAGGGCTGTCCAACTACGACGGGTCAAATACGGGTGGGCTTTAAGATGAAAACCCTGAAGGTGGTCATCTCCCTGCCCGTTGTACTTACCACTTACAACCTTTTAAGAAGTTCTCAGAGTGGGTGCTGAACTCGGACCAGGAACCGCTGAGGTATCGGGGTACCTGTGAAAAGCTGTAGGTCCAAAAGCTAGAAAAGAGATGGAGAACAACAAACGGGTAAGTTACAGCAAAATGGGCCTGGGGCGGAGCTGAGGACTGGAGGCTGTCGTTTTCCTATGTCCAGGCTCCTCGGACTCCAGAGTCACTTACGTGTCTCCCTCATCCACTTGACCGGGTTCTTCAGACACATCTTCCACGGCTTCTCCTGACTCCAACTCAGGCCGATTCGTTTCTGTCACAGGAAGGCTCGCATTTTCAGAAAGTTCTTGCTCCTCGATTCGAGGGCTCGACTCACCGGGAGTATTAAACCCTACTTCCAGGGGAGCGGAGGGAGGAACTAGATCCCCTTGTTGCGGATCCTGGAACACAACCGAGCCAGCCACAGAAT